GGTAAGATACCCGACTTAGCTGACTCTAAAGGTTGTTACTTTCTGAAACTGTACTGCTCCGGTCTCAGCTTCAAGCCTCCATGGTATACCCGGCTTAATGGCTCTTATTTCAAGCCTCCATGGTAACCCGGACTTTTGGCTCTTATACACTGGAAAACCGTTACTTTAATAATAATTTGAAAATTTTAACAACCTTTAACATGAAAAATCTTGCCTTGAACTTGATTTACTGACTTGACTTAGGAAAATTAAACTTATTCCCTGATCTAACTCAAGGAATTATTCCTTGGAATGTGCCAACTAATTGGCAAAACTGGCAATTTTCGATAGAAAATTTCTGAGGGACATGATTGCTAAGACTTGTATAACATAATTGTTTACAAATCACTGAACGAGACACTAACTTAATCTGAATAAGTCTCGAATGGAATCTAGGGTTCTCAATCCTAGCCCCTTTCTAGAATTCTGAGATCGGACTCGAACATCCTTACTGATGACTTTATTAAAGCTAATCAATAAAGAACACAAATTTCTTGACGAGTCGCTAAACATGACTGGAGAATACTGACATAAAATTCGAGTATACTGACTACTGATCATGAACATGATCGAGCATCTTAACTACATCGTAACTGAGAAATTTCTGAGCATAGAAATAGTAAATTGTTTATAATTTAAAACTTGAATCAGCACTTACCTGGTAGTCGGCGAGGCGTGAGCGTGACGTGTTCGGGTTTTTCTAAAACTTTCTGACTCGTAAAGTATTCAGATACACAAAAATGTGCTCTGATACCAACTGTAACACCCCGCTTTTCCTTAAATATCAGAGTGCATTTTTCGCAAATTCTTTTCTAAATAAAACATGTTCATTTGCGAAGTCCTTTTCGGGATGCTACTAAAAATCATTCATTGCTTGGGAAATCCGTTACCTTTATTTAAATTTCACTTTGAAGAATAAACGGATTATTTTAGATCAACTAGCATGTAATACTTTATAAAGAAAATCTGTCTGATAAATCAATTTAAAAATAAAAACTGACATGCTAGTTGAAATA